AAAAAAAAAAAAAAAAAAAGAATATGAAGACAACTCACAGAAAAAGAAGTATAAATAGTTGAAATATCTGAAGCAATGCTAATCTTGCTCTGAGGGGTCAAATACCGACACCTCTCTCTTGTCCTGCCATGCTGGAAATGTGGCTGTTGGCAATGGTGTAGAGAAAGAACCACACTTATGCAGCTCTTGCTCTAGGGGACTGATTCAAGAGACAGTTTTAGGAAAGTTACAAACATACCTATACTTTGAGCAATTTTACTTTTTATCCTACAGATGTGTATGTTTGTTTAAAGTTGCAAGAGACTATAACAATGCACAACCACTAACGTGACTAATTAAGGTGATATATCACAGTATCAATTTACTATGTAGCCATTAGAGGTTGCCAAGTTGGCCAGGTGTGGTGGTTCACGCCTGTAATCCCAGCATTTTGGGAGGCTGAGGCTGGTGGATCACGTGGTCAGGAGTTCGAGACCAGACTGACCAACATGGTGAAACCCCATCTCTATTAAAAATACAAAAAAAAAAAAAAAATTAGCTGGGCGTGGTTGTTCATGCCTGTAATCCCAGTTACAAAGGCTAAGGCAGGAGAATTGCTTGAACCCAGGAGGCAGAGGTTGCAGTGAGCCAAGATCACACCACTGCACTCCTGCCAGGGTGACAGAGCAAGACTTCGTCTCAAAAAAAAAAAAGGTTGCCAAGTTACAGAACAGTATGTACCATTCTGTACTGCCATAATAAAACCATTTCTTCCTGGAAGGGGAAATAGGGGGTTGGCAACAGGGAAGAGGAAGGTTGAATTGCTTTCTGTTATTTTAATCTAACTTACCCTTTACTCATATACACGTTACCTTTTAGTTGCTGGCTGGGCGCCGTGGCTCATGCCTGTAATTCTAACACTTTGGGAGGCCAAGGCAGGTGGATCACCAGAGGTCAGGAGTTTGAGACCAGCCTTGCCAACATGGTGAAAACCTGTTTCTACTAAAAATGTGAAAATTAGCTGGGCATGGTGACATATTCCTGTAATCCCAGCTACTAGGGAGGCTGAGTCAGGAAAATCGCTTGAACCTGGGAGACGGAGGTTGCAGTGAGCCATGATCATGCCACTGCTCTTCAGCCTGGGTGACAGAGCGAGACTCCCTTTCAAAAAAAAAAAAAAAATTTGGCCGGGCGCGGTGGCTCAAGCCTGTAATCCCAGCACTTTGGGAGGCCGAGGCGGGTGGATCACGAGGTCAAGAGATCAAGACCATCCTGGTCAACATGGTGAAACCCCGTCTCTACTAAAAATACAAAAAATTAGCTGGGCATGGTGGTGCGTGCCTGTAATCCCAGCTACTCAGGAGGCTGAGGCAGGAGAATTGCCTGAACCCAGGAGGCGGAGGTTGCGGTGAGCCGAGATTGCGCCATTGCACTCCAGCCTGGGTAACAAGAGCGAAACTCCGTCTCAAAAAAAAAAAAAAAAAATTTTTAGTTGCTTTACCTGTGCTGAACTGGAGGTGAATTTGGAGTCAGTGATTTAATAGTTAAATAGAGGCAGTAAAGAGCTACTACTGCTTGGTTAACTTACACATATTGATAATAAATAATAATGATAGCAGGAATAGATCTCATTCAACTCCAGGAAATTCTTAGTTTTTATGTTACCTAATTTCCATCATATATCTGCAAACAGACTAACATGAATGTCTGACATGTGTGTTTCTTTGTCTTGTTTCAATGTGTCTAGATTGAATTTGCCAGGAAGAATGTTCATAATGCCAATCAGAAAATCCAGGATGCTCAGGATAAACTCTGCCTCTCATGGGTGGAGTGGAAAAGGAGCGTTGGGTATGATGATACTGATGAGTCCCACTGTGCTGAGGTAAGATGACTGGGACAGTCATTTGCTAGTTTCCAAAGTTCTTACCAAACTTTTCAATTTTTCTATACTCTGCCTTAGAATACTCTTCTCTATCAAAAGGTTGAACAATACTTTGTGCATAGGTGGCTAGTTATGTGGCAGAAAAGCAAAACTATGCAGGGAGTAATTTTATTTAACAATCTGTGAATATACATATGCCCCAAGTGAGATACAACTAAACACAGGCCTTGCCCTCATAATGGGTACAGACTAACAGGGGATACAGCCAGCCATGCTGTCCTATTGTGTCTTTTTTTTTTTAACTGCTCCTTGCAGAAGAGGGCTACCCCATAGGCAGTATACTTAGAGTAGCCAAGTTCTGTTGTTTTTTAACAGCATAAATACAGGCACTATTGACCGGGGGTGGTGGCTCACACCTGAAATCTCAGAACTTTGGGAGGCCAAGGCGGGTGAATCACCTAAGGTCAGGAGTTCAAGACCAGCCTGGCCAACATGGAGAAACCTCATCTCTACTAAAAATACAAAATTAGCCAGGCATAGTGGTGTGCTTCTGTAGTCCCGGCTACTTGGGAGGCTGAGGCAGAGAATCCCTTGAACCCTGGAAGTGGAGGTTGCAGTGAGGTGAGATCATGTCACTGCACTCCTGCCTGGGTGACAAAGTGAAACTCCATCTCAAAAATACAGGCACTCTGAAAATTTATGGGATGACTATCTCAGGCAGGCTTAGAGTCAGGGTGGGTGAGTCACATGGCTTCCTAGAAGAGATTAATGGTAAGCTGAGAACTAATTGGTGAATAAACTAGGTGAAAGGGCAATAAGGGTATTAATGTTTCAGGCAGAAGACATAGCATCTTAGCTGAGCACAATAGCTCATACTTGTAATCCCAGCACTTTGGGAGGCCAAGGCAGGCAGATCACTTGAGCCCAGGAGTTCAGGATCAGTTTGGGCAATGGTGAAACCCCATCTTTACAAAAAATACAAGAATTAGCAGGGCTTGGTGATGTGCGCCTGTAGTCCTAGTTGGCTCGGGAGGCTGAGGTGGGAGGATCACCTAAGCCCGGGAGGTTGGGGCTACAGTGGGCCATGATTATGCTACTGCCAGCCAGTCTGGGCAACAGACTAAGACCCTATCTCAAAAAAGAAAGAAAGAAATATCCTCTTATAGTCCTAGAAAGTGGTTGTGTCCCAAAAGCTCTGAAGTGAGTATTAAACTGTTCGTTCATATCTTGCCATTTTACGTATATATTACACTACAAAGAGGGAATACATATATATATATAATAGTGTAACATATATATATTACACTACTACTAAGAAATATATTTCCATTCTTTTGGGTCTCCCCCACCTAATGTTTCTTCAGTTTAAGATGATGGGCCGGGCGCGGTGGCTCAAGCCTGTAATCCCAGCACTTTGGGAGGCCGAGGCGGGTGGATCACGAGGTCAAGAGATCGAGACCATCCTGGTCAACATGGTGAAACCCCGTCTCTACTAAAAAAAAAATACAAAATACATTAGCTGGGCATGGTGGCGCGTGCCTGTAATCCTAGCTACTCAGGAGGTTGAGGCAGGAGAATTGCCTGAACCCAGGAGGCGGAGGTTGCGGTGAGCCGAGATCGCGCCATTGTACTCCAGCCTGGGTAACAAGAGCGAAACTCCGTCTCAAAAAAAAAAAAGATGATGAACTTTGGAGACTTAGCCACTAGTTTGAATCCCCACCCACTTGTTTTCCAGTTGTTAACTGAAGCCATCTACTTAAACTCTAAGCTTGTATTCATATCTATGAAATGTGAATAATACCGCCGCACTCAGCATTGTAATGAGGATTTTTAAAAGCCAAAGAATCCACATATGTGGTGGACACATAACCAGCTTACTTTCATTGAACTAACCTTATACATAGCACTGTTGGATCCGCTACTAATTTTAAGTTTTATTTTTAGCACATCGAGTCACGTACTCTTGCTATTGCCCGAAACCTGACTCAGCAGCTCCAGACCACGTGCCACACCCTCCTGTCCAACATCCAAGGCTTACCACAGAACATCCAAGATCAGGCCAAGCACATAGGGGTGATGGCCGGCGACATCTACTCAGTGTTCCGCAGTGCTGCCTCCTTTAAGGAAGTGTCTGACAGCCTCCTCACTTCTAGCAAGGGGCAGCTGCAGAAAATGAAGGAATCTTTAGATGATGTGATGGATTATTTTGTTAACAACACGCCCCTCAACTGGCTGGTAGGTCCCTTTTATTCTCAGATGACTGAGTCTCAGAATGCTCAGGACCAAGGTGCAGAGATGGACAAGAGTAGCCAGGACGCCCAGCAATCTGAGCACAAAACTCATTAAACCTGCCTGTCACCAGTGCATGATGTGGCCAGCCAGGTGACACGTTTTGTTATGTTGAAATTAACCTGCTAGAAAACACTAAATTGGGAAGCAAGCAGCTGGTACAAAGGCCCTCAATTATATTATTTCCAGTTGAATTAAGAGCTTTAACATTTCTGGCATTAGCAGATGATTTCTGTTTACCTGGTAAGAAAAGAATGACAGGCTTGCCAAAGCCTAGCCAGAACTCACAAAAAATTCAAGTGCCCTTATGTTCTCATTCTGTGGCCAGTGTGTTGCCTCTGTTACTGTTTGTATTGAATAAAAACATCTTCATGTGGGCTGGGGTAGAAACTGGTGTCTGTTCTGGTATGATCTGAGCAGGCCTCTTTACTGGTTTATCTCATGATGATTGCTTGTACAACTTGATTTTAGTTTTTTTTTCTCAAATAGGAAAACTACCTTTGAATTCAATAAAAGTCACTGCAGGATAGACCAGTTACATGCTGTTTGTTCCATGTGCTTTGTGTGTTGCTTTCATAAAGTTGCTTAACCTGCATGACAGAGTTATTACACATACATGAATTTCAGTTGGCCTATGGGGGAATTTGGCAGAGTGAGACCACTGGAAGGCTAATGTTAAAAATGGGATGCTTGATAACAGATTTAACACAAATTAAAAAGTAATGTGCATATTCAAATTTTGCTAGGTGACAGTTGCTCTCTGTTTGCCAAGTTACTGGGCCCCTGTGAGTGGGTTTTTAAACCAGTAAAAGGACCTAGTCGTGTCTACCTAACTGAAAAAGAATCAGAACTGAAAGGAAGCAAGTGATTGTTTTCATCAGTGTCATGTAAAGGCATTGGGCATTTCTTGCCAGGAAACCGGTTTAAAGTGTGAGCCCTAAAAGGGAGATTCTTCAGTGTCCAGCCTGAGCTGGACTTAACTTACTGCATTTTCATTTTGAGAGAAAGTCACTAACCTCAGTTGTTTTTGGGGAGGTACTTATAGAAAACCATGTGAGACTAACTACAGGTGAAAAAACTAATCCCCCTGTAAAAAAGGGTTCTTCTTCCCACCTGCCTGTGGTATCCAGACTTCTAGTCCATCCACCATTGGTTATTTAGGAGCTATCCTGAATCGCCTCACACAGTTGCAATATGTCAAACTAGTTTTTAAAAGCCAGTCTCAGAACTTGTGTAATAGGCCGGGCACTGTGGCTCACACCTGTAATCCCAGCCCTTTGGGAGGCTGAGGCAGGCAGATCACCTGAGGTCAGGTGTTTGAGACCAGCCTGACCAATGTGAACTGAAGTCTAACTCAGATTTGTCTCCTTCTATCCTGGTTCACCCCTTTCCATGAAAACAAGGAAGCAGCACATAACTTTACATGCTCCTTTGGTGTGAATGAACCTAGTAAAGATTTTTATTGGCCAGGCACATTGGCTTATGCCTATAATCCCAGCACTTTGGGAGGCTGAGGTGGACGGATCACCTGAGGTCAGGAGTTTGAGACCAGCCTGGCCAACATGGTGAAACCCCATCTCTACTAAAAATACGAAAATTAACTGGGCATGGTGGCTGGCACCTGTAATCTTAGCTACTCAGGAGGCTAAGGCAGGAGAATCGTTTGAACCCAGGAGGCGGAGGTGGCAGTGAGCCGAGATGTGCCATTGTACTCTAGCCTGGACGACACAGTAAGACTCTTGTCTCCAAAAAAAAAAAAAAATCCACAAAAAATTACTGGGGGGGGTTGTTTGCACCCGGTAATCCTGGCTACTAGGGGGCTGAGGCACAAGAATCCCCTGAACCAGGGAGGTGGAGTTTGCAATGAGACGGGATCATGCTACTGTATTCCTGTCTGGGCAACAGTGAGAACCTGTCTCAAAAAAAAAGAAAAAATTTTTTCAAGTTATAAAATTTTTCTCCTCAGTGCAACTCCAGAAATTAGTAAACAGGTGAGCTGAGTTGGAGGGTGGGAACTCCCTGAGATACTTGAAGCTGCTTTTTAATTTTTTTTGCAGATAAGGAGCTTCTGGTTTTGGGAAGGATGGACTTTTGTGATTTATGGGTTTCCAGGACAGAGTCTATTCACTCACTTGCCTCCCTGTTCCCAGTGACTGGCATTTTCTAAAGCCTCTGCCTCTTAAATTTTCTTTCTTTCTTTTTTCTTTTTCTTTTTTTTTCTTGAGGTAGAGTCTCGCTCTGTTTCTCAGGCTGGAGTGCAATGGTACAGTCTCGGCTCACTGTGACCTCTGCCTTCCAGGCTCAACCCATTCTCCTGCCTCAGCCTTTCAAGTAGCTGCAATTACAGGTGTGCGCCACCATGCCCTGCTAGTTTTTGTATTTTTAGTAGAGATGGGGTTTCACCATGTTGGCCAGGCTGGTCTGAAACTCCTGACCTCAGGTGACCTGCCTACCTCAGCCTCCCATAGTGCTGGGATTACAGGTGTCAGCTATTGCACCTGACTGAATTTTTTTTTCTTAGTCCAAATCACCCTGCCCCTTTGTGCCTCAAAACTCCCAGGACTGGTATTTTGCAGTTTATTCCAGTTGATTGGAAAATTGATAAGCTACAGTTATACACATGCTTTCTTATTTTGAACATATACTTTTGTGTTTCCCCATTATCAGAGTATATAGTGTGTTACTTAAGTTAGTGTAGATTTTTAAAAAAAGAAGAGTTGTAGTGCTTACTGAATAGCTTATGAAAAGGAGGAAGGTCTCAAAGCTCTTCCTGAGCAGGGACAGAATAAAATGTAGACCATTCTTAGCTTCTAGAACACCAGCATCCCTTGCTTTTTGCCGTGAGCTGTGCACATTGGTCATGGTTTTGCTGTCTTTGTGTTTCAAGTTTGTGTCTACATGCATTTCGTTCATTTGTCAACATGTCTCAGGATTTGTGGTGTTCTGGCTTTTTTTTTTTTTTTTTTTTTTTTTTGAGATGGGCTGGAGTGGAGTGGTACGATTGGCTCACTGCAACCTTCGCCTTCCAGGCTCAAGCAATTCTTCCACCTCAGTGTCCTGAGTATCAGGGATCACAGGCATGCACAACCACACCCGGCAAATTTTTGTGTTTTTGTAAAGTCGGGGTTTCACCATGTTGCCCAGGCTGGTCTCGAACTCCTGAGCTCAAGTGATCCACCCACCTCAGCCTGCCAAAGTGCTGGGATTCCAGGCCTGAGCCACTGAATCCAGCCTGTTTTCTCACATCTTGCAGCTTCATTGTTGCATAAACTGGCAGAAAATTTTTGTTTTATCGACTTTTTTCCTTCAGAAAACAATTGTTTTGAGGGAAAATACTAAGGCTAACACAAGTATCTAACCATGGTAAGTTCGTACACATGGGACTGCATGAAGCCTGGCATGGTGTGCCTGAGGGAGTGTTCAAGAATGTTTTTTCCTTTGCCTGTAATAATAATAATATAGTCTTTCTAGTTTGTCCTCTGCAGAAATGCAAAGAAACATGATGCATTGGCCATTAACCTCTGAGCCTCAGTTTTCTCATCTATTAAGTTAATGTTGCCACAACAGATGGAAGTGAGTGTTGAGGATGGGGATGTGTTTTTCTAATTTGCACTAGAGGCATGGGGACATCATCTGTGGGACCGTGACATGTAGTATCTTTAACTTGGCAGTTCAGGTGTGAGTATATAATACCAGCTAATGGTTAGGAAAATGTATCCACTTTGATAAGGCAGTTATAGGTATTAAAGAGCTAATGAAACTGGTATGTACCTATAGTCTCAGTTACTCAGGTGGCTGGGACAGGAAGATTGCTTGAGCCCAGGAGTTCAAGGCTGCGGAAAAAAAAAAAAAAACAATTAATGAAGTGAAAAGGAAAAAGCTAAAATTTGATTTACATAAGATACCTAAGATACAGGGCTCGAGGTCAGCTTAAGCCAAAGACTTGTTTTATGGTATCTTTCTTGTTTACCTTTTGAGATTCTTTTTTTTTTTTTTTTGGAGATGGAGTTTCGCTCTTGTTACCCAGGCTGGAGTGCAATGGCGCGATCTCGGCTCACCGCAACCTCCGCCTCCTGGGTTCAAGCAATTCTCCTGCCTCAGCCTCCTGAGTAGCTGGGATTACAGGCACGCGCCACCATGCCCAGCTAATTTTTTGTATTTTTAGTAGAGACGGGGTTTCACCATGTTGACCAGGATGGTCTCAATCTCTTGACCTCGTGATCCACCCGCCTAGGCCTCCCAAAGTGCTAGGATTACAAGCATGAGCCACCGCGCCCGGCCTACCTTTTGAGATTCTGATGCTACGTCCCTCCCTCCACCCCAAAGTGGACTTCTTTGGAACTGAACTTATAAAACTTTAGTTTTAGAAATTACTGACTCCTGAAAAAAAAAAGAAAAGGTATCAATTTGACCCTTACTGGGCTAGACACAGGTCATATCTTTAGGACTGGTTAGGGTTAAGGCTTTCTAACTAATCATCCTAAGCTGAGAGTCAAGAATAGAGTGCTCAGAAGGAAAAGACTGAATCAGAAAATTAAACTCTCAGTTGGTGGTGAGACAGTGAGAGGCAGGCGGCCTATACATTGTTGAGTTTGCCAGATGAAACTGCTGATTAACACAGTGCATTTTTAATTGTTAAGATTGGCCGAGTGCAGTGGCTCATACCTGTAATCCTAGCACTTTGGGAGGCCAAGTCGGCAGATCACTTGACACCAGGAGTTCAAGGCCAGCCTGGTCAACCTGGTCAAACCCCACCTTTACTAAAGATACTAAATTAGCTGGGCATGGTGGCTTGCTCCTGTAATTCAAGCTACTGAGACTTGAGAATGCTTGAACCTGGGAGGCGAAGGTTGCAGTGAGCCAAGACTGCACCACTGCACTTCAGCCTGGGCGACAGAGCAAGACTCAGTCTCAAAGAAAAAAAGGAAATTGTTAAGATTGCCAGTAAGAGCCGGGCGCGGTGGCTCACGCCTGCAATCCCAGCACTTTGGGAGGCCGAGGCGGGTGGATCACGAGGTCAAGAGATCGAGACCATCCTGGTCAACATGGTGAAACCCCGTCTCTATGAAAACTACAAAAAAATTAGCTGGGCATGGTGGCGCGTGCCTGTAATCCCAGCTACTCAGGAGGCTGAGGCAGGAGAATTGCCTGAACCCAGGAGGCGGAGGTTGCGGTGAGCCGAGATCGCGCCATTGCACTCCAGCCTGGGTAACAAGAGCGAAACTCCGTCTCCAAAAAAAAAAAAAAAAAGATTGCCAGTAAGATGACTAAGTGAAATGATAGGAAGACAGTTGAAAGAAAAATGTTTGCGGTGGGAGGTAGACAGAATTGCCTGGGATTCTTCTCTTGCTTAAACTGGGCCTGCAGATTAGCAATATAATATGAAATATAATACAACAAAAGGCTTTGAATCTCAAAAGGGAGCCTAGTCTTGATACAGAATATACTTTCTAGGTTTTTAGCTTGGTACAGGTTTTATGAAAGTGCCATTTGAGAGTGCCATATAAAAGATAGTAGAGCTAGCCAGCCATGGTAGCTCATACCTGTAATCCCAGCACTTTGGGAGGCCAAGGCAGGCAGATCACCCGAGGTCAGGAGTTCAAAACCAGCCTGGCCAACATGATGAAATCCTACCTCTACTAAAAATACAAAAATTATCTGGGTGTGGTGGCCCATGCCTATAATCCCAGGTACTTGGGTGGCTGGGGCAGGAGAATCACTTGAACCTGGGAGGTAGAGGTTGCAGTGAGCCAAATTCACACCACTGCGCTCTAGCCTGGGTGACAGTAAGCCTACATCTCAAAACAATAAAATAAAACAAAAATCCAATGTCAGATTTTCCATTTTTTTTTTTTTTTTTATTTGGAGACGGAGTTTCAGCCTTGTTACCCAGGCTGGAGTGCAATGGCGCGATCTTGGCTCACCGCAACCTCCGCCTCCCGGGTTCAGGCAATTCTCCCGCCTCAGCATCCTGAGTAACTGGGATTACAGGCACGCACCACCATGCCCAGCTAATGTTTTGTATTTTTAGTAGAAACGGGGTTTCACCATGTTGACCAGGATGGTCTCGATCTCTTGACCTCGTGATCCACCCGCCTCGGCCTCCCAAAGTGCTGGGATTACAGGCTTGAGCCACCACGCCCGGCCCAGATTTTCCATTTTTAAGTGTACAATTCTGTGGGATTAAGCACATTCACAGTGTTATACAACCGTCACCATTATATTCATCTTAAGTGCAAATTCTATACCCATTAAACAATAACTCCAGGATGGGCGAGGTGGCTCACACCTATAATCACAGCACTTTGGGAAGCCAAGGCAGGTGGATCACTTGAGGTCAGGAGTTCAAGACTAGCTTGGCCAACATGGTGAAACCCATCTCTACTAAGAAATACAAGTAGCTGGGATTACAGGCCTGTGCCACCACAGTGGCGCAGGTGGCAGTGTATGCCTGTAGCTGGGCATGGTGGCAGTGCATGACTGTAATCCCAGTTACTTGGGAGGCTGAGTCAGGAGAGTCACTTGAACCTAGGAGGCAGAGGTTGCACTGAGCAGAGATTATACCACTGCACTTCAACCTGGGGGACAGAGCGAGACTCCATCTCAAAAAAAAAAACCCACAATAACTCCCCAAATCCCTTATTCCCTTCTGTCTATTTTTTTGAGGGATTTTTGCTGTTGTTAGCTGTTTCTCTTCTGTTAGGTAATCAGCTACTTTTTTCCCTCCACTATCAAGATTCTAGACTTTAGTAATATGTTGCATGTTATTAATGTTCTTGTTTTAATCTGTTGTTTGCTAAGAAACATTACTTAGCTTATGGAAATTGTATATAAAGTAAGATTCTTTGTCCCTAAAGGCTTTCCTATGCAGAGAAGAGGTAAGGTTTTGTGATAGCTGTTTGAAAATAAAAATACCTTTTGTTTCCTCAGTTGCTAGACATTTCCCTAGACACTTGCTTATGGAAAAGTGGGGGAATTACTGTTTTTAAGAAAGTAACAGATTAATAGTTGAATAACGAGAAATGCTTTATATCTGGTATTTTTTAAAAAGCCTTCATCGACTAGGTTCCACCACTAGTTAGTTTCCTTTTTTAAAAGATTTCCTTAGTGCTTTTATAATCTGAGGGAATTGCGGGAATAAGACCACAAACATCTTTTCAAAAAGCACAGCTATGGACAAAGCAAGGTTCACCTACATGCACTAAAGTCTCCATGAGCTCACATGGACTTCACAACTCACTTCATCAGTGTTTGTTTCAATATCCGAGATTCTTCTTTTACAGGTGTTTGATTTCACCACCATAGACTTGGCATCTGAGACTGATGAAATTCCAGATATAATAGCTTTGGAAGAGGAGAACAGATCAAATCATTCACATGCTAATGGCTTTGTCCCCTCATGGCAAAATGGTGAATAACTAACAACAACAACAAAATACCCCTAGGCCAGGCGAGGTAGCTCCTGCCTGTAATTCCAGCACTTTGGGAGGCCGAGGCAGGTGGATCATGAGGTCAGGAGTTCAAGACCAGCCTGTCCAAGATGATAAAACCCGTCTCAACTAAAAATTATAGGAAAAACAGCCAGTGCGGTGGCACGCGCCTGTAATCCCAGCTACTCGGGAGGCTGAGACAGGAGAATTGCTTGAACCCGGGAGGTATCAGTTGCAGGGTGCTGAGATCGCGCCACTGCATTCCAGTCTGGGTGACAGAGCAAGATTCTGTCTCAAAAAAAAAAAAAAAAAAAAAAAAAAATCCCTTTTGGTTGAATACACAATTCATATTAGATTGAACTTCCTGTTTTTATTCCTGTGGCTTTGAAGAGTGTTAATCTATTTTTTGGCTATGTTGAGCTTAATCGCAATAAAACACTGATCTAAACTTTTGTAAGAGATCATAGTTCTGTGTCATATATCCTTTAATATAATTATTTAAAGTTTAATTGCTGAAATACTTATAATAAAAACTGGGCTGCATAATCTTGACTTCATGAGTTTTTTCCCCACTGGTATAGTGCACATTTGTTGTCTTTTGGTCTCCCATGATTCATTCATGCTGCTTTTGAGGGTCTCAGTGGGGATAGTGGTCCAGGTTTTTGCTTTCCCTTACCCTAGCGGTGGGCATGTGACCAAAAGCAGATCAACTGGGAGGAAGCATAGCATGATGAGTAAGGGCTCAGCCTCTGGATTCTAATCTGGCTCTGCCAGTTACTGGGTGATAGTGAGCAGGTTACTTAATTTCTCTGTACCTCATTTTTTTAATCTGTAAAACAGGAATAGCGCTAGGTTTGCTATAAAGCTTAGATAATTAACATTTGCGAAAAGCTTAGAGCACTGCCTGGGACAGAGTAGCATTAAGTATTAGTTGCCTGTAATCCCAGCACTTTGGGAGGCCAAGGCTAGTGGATCGCTTGAGGTCAGGGATTTGACACCAGCCTTCAACATGGTGAAACACTGTCTCTACTAAAAATATATATTAAAAAAAAAAAGAAGAAAAAGAAAAAACAAATTAGCCAGGGTGTGGTGGTGCAGGCCTGTGATCCCAGCTACTCAGGAGGCTGAGGCAGGAGACTCGCTTGAACCGAGGGGGTGGAGGTTGCAGTGAGCCCAGTTTGCGCCATTGCACTCCAGTCTGGGTAAGAGAGTGAGACTCGATCTCAAAAAAAAAAAAAAAAGTATTAGTTAAGGGAGTGAATTGTAGAAGCAATCTGGGGCAGTGGCTCACACTTATAATCCCAGCAGTTTGGGAGGCTAAGGTGGGAGGATCACTTCAGCCCAGGAGTTCCAGATCAGCCAGGGCAATATAGTAAGACCTTCTCTCTACAACAGCAACAAAAAAACCTTAAAAAATTAGGCTGGGCATGGTGACTCACATCTATAATTCTAGTACTTTGGGAGGCCAAGGCAGGTGGATCACTTGAGGTTAGGAGTTCCAGACCACCCCGGCCAACATGGTGAAACCCTGCCTCTACTAAAAATACAAACAGGCTGGGCGCGGTGGCTTACACCTGTAATCCCAGCACTTTGGGAGGCCAAGGTGGGCGGATCACCTGAGGTCGGGAGTTTGAGACCAGCCTGACCAACATGGAGAAACCCCATCTTAAAAAAAAAAAATGCAAACATTAGCCGGTTGTGGTGGTGGGTGACTGTAATCCCAGCTACTTGGGAGGCTGAGGTGGGAGGATTCTAGGCTAGTCTGGAATTCCCGGCCTCAAATGATCCTCCTGCCGTGGCCTCCTAAAGTGCTGGGATTACAGACAGGCATGAGCCACCGTGCCTAGCTGCCAAATCTTCTTAGAATGAGGCCTAGTGAGTGAGGACTAAACTCTGACCTTTTTTCTTTCTGGCCCAAATTCCTAACTACCGAATTTAAGGAGTCATGTCCTATAAACCATGAAAATCTCATCAGATGGATTTTGTTTAACCCTATACAACCCAGCTTACTTTCCAACCTGACTCTGACATAATATCACATGACAGATAAAGAAGGAAATAAACATATTTTTTTTCTGAAAATATGTTTCTTTGGTATATTTTGAAATGCACCCGCAAAGCCATCGCTTACGGGGGGAAATCTATATCTGTAAAGAAGCTGGCCAGGTGCCGTGGCTCATGCTTGTAATCCCAGCACTTTGGGAGGCTGAGGCAGAAAGATCACCTGAGGTCCAGAATTCCAGACCATCCTGGTCAACACGGTGAAACCCTGTCTCTACCAAAAGTACAAAAATTAGGTGGGCATGGTGGTGCATGCTTGTAATCCCAGCTACTTGGAAGGCCGAGGCAGGAGAATTACTTGAACCGAGGAGACAGAGGTTGCACTGAGCCAAGATTGGGCCACTCCACTCCTGCCTGAGTGATACAGTGAGACTCCGTCTCAGAAATAAACAAATAAAAGAATCTCTACTGAAATAAGTAGATCTTTCCTCTGGCAGGCCCTCCCAATCCTAAAGAGATTAACTGAGAATCCAGTACTCACTGTGTCACCCAGTCTGGATTATACCCAGGCTTGTGATCTCAGCTCCCTGCAACCTCTGCCTCCCGGGTTCAAGCGATTCTTCTGCCTCAGCCTGCCTCCGGAGTACTTGGGATTACAAGTGTCTGCCACCATGCCTGGCTAATTTTTGTCCTTTTAGTAGAGATGGGGTTTTACAATGTTGGCCAGGCTGATCTCGAACTCCTGACCTCAGGTGATCTGCCTGCCTTGGCCTCTCAAAATGCTGGGATTACAGGTGTGAGCCACCATGCGCAGTCTTAATTTTTTTTTTTTGAGACAGGGTCTTGCTCTGTTGCCCAGACTGGCATGCAGTGGTATAATCTGGATTCACTGCAACCTCTGCCTTCTGGGCTGAAGCAATCTGCTGGCCTCAGCCTCCCAAAGTGTTTGAATTACAGGTGTGAGCCAGATTCCAGTGCTTATGGGTGGCCACCTATGAGACTTTATCCGTTGTTTTTTTTTTTTTTTTTTTTTTTTGTTAGATGGGGGTTTGCTACTGTTGCCCAGGCTGGAGTGCAATGGCATGATCTCAGCTAACCGTAACCTCTGCCTCTCGGGTTCAAGCAATTCTCCTGCCTCAGTCTCTCAAGTAGCTGGGATTACAGGTATGTGTCATCACACCCAGCTAATTTTGTATTTTTAGTGGAGACAGGGTTTCCCCATGTTGGTCAGGCTGGTCTCGAACTCTCAACCTCAAGTGATCCGCCTGCCTTGGCCTCCCAAAGTGTTGGGAATACAGGTGTGAGCCACCGCACCTGCCCCAATCAAAAAAACTTTGAGTCCACCTGTGACCTGAACCCTCCACCTTGAGTTGCCTCACCTTTCTGTACAGAACCAATGTATACCTCATATGTACTGACTGATGTCTTATATCTCCCCTAAAACTGTATAAAACCAAGCTATAGCCCCACCATCTTGGGCACATATTCTCAGGAACTCTTGAGACTGTGCCTCAGGCATGATCACTCATATTTGGCTTAGAATAAACCTCTTTACATATTTTGTTAGAGGAACCCCTGCTTACCAGGCCTCTGGTTTAATAAAACATGACCAGAGTGACTCCATCTTAAAGTAGCTAGGCACTTACAAGGCTACTATAAAATTAACGCTTATGGTCTAAAAATAGCCACATTCTAAACTGACCACCAATTATAATTACAGAATATTTATGGCCATATAGGATATCTCCCATCAAGCCTGCAGAATGTCCAGATTCATGGTCTGTTGAGAGATTTATGGTCTCTGAAAGCACAGTATCCCTACCTTTAGTAAGCACATCTGCACATTGCAAGTTTAATTACAGCTCCTTATAGTTTCTCGTAAGTAGAGACACTAACAAAGGACCGTGTGTTCCTTCCCCTGCTTTCTGAGGTTGCTCTGGTCTTCAACGGCGTAGTTTCCAATAAACTCACTTCCTTCATTTGTGCTCCATGACTCACCTCAAATTATTTCCTGCACAAGATCCAAGAACCTTCTCTTTGGGTCTGGATCAGGACTCTCTTTTTTCAGACAACAATTTTACAGAGTTTGACTCTTTTTGTCGACAAGAGTCAGAGATTTTTTTTGTTGTTGTTGTTCTTTTGCTTTGAGAAGGGTCTTGCTCTGTCACCTAGACTGAACCTTCCAGGGTCAAGTGATTTTCCCACCTCAGCCTCCTGAGTAGCTGCACTACAGGCATGCACCACCAGAAAGGAGTCAGAGATCTTACAGATGACCTCCACAATGAAGAGCTATGGGTGACAGCATAAACTTCAAAAGGTGGTTGTAGGCTTGGCACGGTGGCTCATGCCTTGGGTGGCCAATGTGGGCAGATCTCTTGAGCCCAGGAGCTCAAGCCCAGCCTAGGCAACATGGTAGGTCTCTCTCTCTCTCTCCCCGCCCCCCCAGTCCCCCTCCTCTATCTCTCTCTTTTTTTAAAGGTGGTTATAGTGAAGCAGGAGGCAATAATTGCCAGAGGTGGCAATGAGTTTTAAGCAGGTTACCCAATCCACTTCCAGGCCCTGTTCTTTGTGGGGTTTGTGATAGGCAACAGCTGTCAATTAAGAGGACTGCAGGCGGCTGAAGGCAGTGACTCATGCCTGTAATCCCAGCACTTTGGGATGCCGAAGCAGGTGGATCACCTGGGGTCAGGAGTTTGAGACCAGCCCGGCCAACATGGTGAAACCCCGTTTCTATTAAAAATACAAAAAATTAGCCAGGTGTGGTGGCGGACGCCTGTAATTCCAGCTACTAGGGAGGCTGAGGCAGAAGAATCGCTTGAATCAGGGAGGCAGAGGTTGTAATGAGCCAAGATCGCACCACTGCACTCCAACCTGGGCAACAAGAGAAAAACTCCGTCAAAAAAAAAAAAAAAAAAAAAAAAAAAAAAAGACTGCAGCGGGAGTAGAGAGCCAGATTTCATTTAGAGCAGGAAAAGGAACATCCAGCATTTGAGGGCATAGATTTTGCTAATGACAGATATGAGGCTCAGAGATTACGTGACTTGATCAGAGTCACAGCGAGCATAGTTGAGGATGGAACCAGTGCTTTTTCTCTACACCGACGCACTGTGCTCCATTTATGGTTTTTATGTGACGTAACAACTAGGATGGGACCCACACACCAAGAATCTGAAACCCGAAGGTCCGAGAATCTGCGCAAGACAGCGGTTACGCAAGCGCGGAACAATTCGCTGGCTGCGCAATGCCCTGTGGGTCGTGTAGTTTCTGGGCTGGGCATGACCGGAAGGAGGAGAGAAGGGCGCATTGCATGGCGGGAGATATAGTCCTCCCGGGAAGTCCCTCCTTCCTCGGAAGCCTGGCGGCGCCGGCGCACACTGCTCTTCCTTAAGGGCGGGAGTCTCGGTTTGTGGCGGGTTCGATGAGGCGGTTGTGGCCGCACTACCGTTAGAAGCTCAATTTCCCGGAGGCTCTAAGGCCCTTTGAGGCGAAATGGCTCCGGGCGAGAAAGGAGCAGGGGGTGGCAAAGGAAGGGCCGCCGCGGCCTCAGGCTGACCGTAGGGTGGGATCCTGAGGGCCCTCCAAGTTCCCTGGGCTTGCCGCTTTCTTTCTTTGCCGCCAGCGTGCCTACCGCGAGGATGAGCTCGGCCTCGGTCACCGCTTTCGAGAAGGAGCATCTGTGGATGTATCTGCAGGTGCTCGGCTTCGAACCAGGCCCGGCGACCATTGCTTGCGGAAAGATCGTGTCGCACACGCACCTCGGAGTGTAAGGAGGCTGGGGCCGGCGGGGCGAGGGAGGCTGAGTCAGGGGACGCCGGGGGACTCGCCCTTTTGTAGACCCCGGAGGTTGATTAATCACAGTTGGTTGAGCGGTTACTCTGTGCCAGGAACTGGCTGCAAAGCTCCTACTCCCAGTTGCTGCCAGCCTGGTGGCAGAGACAGACAGTAAATAATGGAAGAGTGCCTGAAGCGCTCTGCTGGGGAGTGCGAAAGTCAGCAGATGGGCTGAAAGTAAAACTGGAGGGGCAGCTTAACTCGGCCTCGGTGGTGGAGGGATGACGCGTGGTAGTGGAAGAGCATGGAAAACACGGTACAAACACCTTTAACTTTATAGTTTTTACTTTTTGAATTAGGAAAGTAAGGCGTGCTAGACAGCATAAAACAATAGAGAGGGATATTAAAAACTAATACCCTTTTAATGAAAAGTATGGAAAGTAAAAGCCCCTTTGCTGCTTTTTCCACTTATGTTAAGGTTATGGATCCCTCCCAATAACCCACTGAAAAGGACTCTGTTTGTATTTCTGTGTTTTATGAACTTTAGCCAGTGTCTTTATTTAGTCATTCTTACTGTAGGCCAAGAGGAATTTGGGATATATACATTGGCCATCTTCTATTCTCCTCAATCTGTTTGACTTTTGTAAATTATATAATTTCAGTTCTTCTAGTAGCTGTTTGTTTGTTTGTTTGTTTTTGTTTTTGGATACGGAATCTGGCTCTGTTGCCCAGGCTGGAGGGCAGTGGCCTGATCTCAGCTCACTGCAACTTCCACCTCCTGGGTTCAAGCAATTCTCCTGTCTCAGCCTTTGGCGTAGCTGGGATTACAGGCCCCTGCCACTGCACCCAGCTACCCCTGTGTCTTTAGAGTCCTTTTCAGTGTGTTATTGGGAGGGATCCACCATCATTTTGTTTTTTCTTTCTTTTTTCCTTAAAAAAATATGTTATCATTTTATTTTTTTTATTTTTTATTTTTTTTGAGACGGAGTTTCGCTCTTGTTACCCAGGCTGGAGTGCAATGGCGCGATCTCGGCTCACTGCAACCTCCGCCTCCTGGGTTCAAGCAATTCTCCTGCCTCAGCCTCCTGAGTAGCTGGGATTACAGGCACGTGCCACCATGCCCAGCTAATTTTTTGTAGTTTTAGTGGAGACGGGGTTTCACCACGTTGACCAGGATGGTCTCGATCTCTTGACCTCGTGATCCACCCGCCTTGGCCTCCCAAAGTGCTGGGATTACAGGCTTGAGCCACCGCGCCCGGCCTCATTTTAGAGGTAGCAGCTAACCATGCTGCCCAGACTGGTCTCAAAATTCCTGGGCTCAGGCAATCCTTCTGCTTCGGTCTTCCAAAGTGCTGGGATTACAGATGTGAGCCACTGTACTGGCATTTTTTTTTTTTTTTTTTTTTTGAGACAGTTTCTCTCTGTCACCCAGGCTGGAGTGCAGTTGTGTGATCACAGCTCACTGCATCCTCCAACTCCTGGGCTCAGGTGATCCTCCCACTTCAGCCTACTGAGGAGCTGGGACCGCAGGTCATGGCACCATGCCTAGGGTCAGTGTGTTGTCCAGGCTGGTCTTGAGCTCCTGGCCTCAAGTGATCCCCCTGCCTTGGCCACTCTAAGTGCTGGAATTACAGATGTGAGCCACTGAGCCTGGCCTGTTTTCTTTTATTGATGTGTAGTAGCTGTACCTATTTTTGGGATATAAAATTTTTGATATTTTGATACAATTAAACAATGCATAAGAATCAGAGACTGGGCGTGGTGGCTCATGTCTATAATCCCAGCACTTTGGGAGGCCAGGGTGGGCAGATAACTGGAGGTCTGGAGTTTGAGACCAGCCTGACCAACATGGAGAAACCGCATCTCTACTAAAAATACAAAATTAGCCCAGTGTGGTGACACATGTCTGTAATCCCAGCTGCTTGGGAGGCTGAGGCAAGAGAATCATTGAACCTGGGAGGCGGCAGTTGGGATGAGCTGGTATAGTGCCATTGCACTCCAGCTTGGGCAACAAAAGCGAAACTCTGTCTCAAAGAAAAAAAAAAAGAATCAGATCAGGGTAACTGGGATAGCCATTACCTCAGACATTTATCTTTCCTTTGTGTTGGAAACATTACAGTTCTCTTCTAGCTATTTTAAGATATACAATAAATTATTATTAACTATAATTTCATTTCAGCACTATTGAACACTAGAACTTATTCCTTCTAACTGTATTTCTGTGCCCATTAATCAACTTCTCTTCATCCCTCCCTGCCTCCTCTTCCTTTGCTAAACTGTGTTAACCACCATTCTACTCTCTACCTCCATGAGGTCCCCTTTTTTGCTCTCACATGTGAGAACATGTAATACTTGTCTTTCGATGCCTGGCTTATTTCACTTAAGATAATGACCTCCGGTTCCATCCACGTTGATGCAGATGACAGGATTTTCTTCTTTTTGTGTGGTTGATTAATGTTCCATTGTGTATATATACCACAATTTCTTTATCCATTCATCTGTTTTCTTTTTCCTTTTTTTTTTTTTTTGAGATAGAATCTCGCCGTGTTGCCTAGGCTGGAGTGCAATGTCACGATCTCAGCTCACTACAACCTCCACCTCCTGGGTTCAAGTGGTTCTCCTGCCTCAGCCTCCTGAGTAGCTGGGATTACAGGTGCCTGCCACCATGGCTGGCTAATTTTTTTTTTTTTTTTTTTTTTTTTTTTGGTATACCTGCCAGGGAGT